CTTTCTCCAAGAGATTCAATTCGGGCGGCGAATCGAAAATCAAGTCGCAGAGAAAGTGGCCGTGTCAGTCGTGATTAGAATTCACTCGAATGGCTTGAAACCCAAGACGTTGGCGATATCGTTCCAAGAAAAATGCAGTTTGCTGATATGCTCTTAGCTTTATGGTTTGCATAACCAACGATTTTCTGGGCAATAATAAAAGGGGGGAAAGGTCAGTTAATGCCGCAGGGGCGGCAGTATCTCCGAACCGCAAAAGTAGTTACCTTCAGCGGTGCATGGAAAAAAGAAAACGCCAACGAAAACGAAAAGCCAAGAAAACGCAGCCGCATGGCCAAGAAAAACTGTGCTGACCATAATTGGAGTTGCACTAAGGTCTGCGTGCATTTAATTATGCAATTTGAGCAAATAGCTGCCCAGCAAAAAGCCACAAAAGAATCAACTAGTCATACTCCGAAGGCGCTTGGTTCTTGGCTGATTTCTCAGCTCAGCTCTTGTCTGCCCCGAATACCAGAGATAAAAAAAAACGTTTTCAAAAATAAAGGCATTCTGTATTAGGCAAATAGTAAAACCGGTAAGACAGTTCCATCAAAGGTGCGACTTTGCTTTTCTGTCATTTTCGGGGGCCCGCAGTACGATTTATTGTGGCTTTGCACCGAAATCGAGGCCCGATGCCTGAGACTCTATGGCGTATACGACCTTTTTTGATGGCCAGGCCCGGCCATCGAGACTGAAAAGGAGGGCTGCCTCTTTAACTTACGTAATGCTGACCTAGAAAAATTCGCATAAACAATATTCACGAATACTTGCCGACACCTTAAACCTAATAAAAGTAATAAAAGAGAAAGATGCACAAAATACAGCGCTTTGTTTACACTCAAAACATAAGTGGAAAACGTGATCTGCGAAATATGTTTACAGCTGATACATTGAATTGGCATTCGATTACCCCGCGCGGCTTGGCTGAGAGCAAAAATTTAAATTAATTTGTAAACAATGCCGGACGGGGTTGAGTAAATCTGAAGATTTGTCGGAATTTCTTATCTTCGGCAAATGCTTTTCTGTTTGCTTCTTAAACTTGCCCATTGAACAAGCCCGCTGCCATTAGCAAGACAATAGTTAGACTGTTTGGGGGAGTGACTCATAACGAGTGGTTACAGCACTTTCAGAGTTTCCTACTCCCAAGAACAATGACTGGGTTGGCGGACACTGGGCAGGTAGTGGGAACTGTGTATTATATATGTTCCGGACACGCGTCCAGGCACAAACAAAGAGCTAATGACTGGCTGCGCCACCGCGATAATAAAATAGGAAGAATGTAGATAGCTTCCTCTAAATTGCACCGGCCATGCAATTACAATTTCATTTTGTTTGCTGTTGCACTGTGCAGCTGTAGTCACACGCACAAATCGATCATTAAATGAATGGAGCAAAAACCATTGGGTTTGGATACTGGTAATTAAAGCGCGCTCGCCACCAATTCATCGCTGAGGCTTTCGGCTGCACAGCCTCCGACTTAGTTGACTGAACTCGATTAACACCGATCCCACTCCCAAGTGAACCCCGGCCAACTGGAAACCCGTTTTCGAATTTCCATCGAAGCACCCAGAGATGTCATGCAAAGCCATCCGAGGTTTTTGCCGGCAGCTGGCTTTTGGTTATGGTTTTATTTTCGTCTGTCATTGCTGCTGCACGTAGAAAAATAGGATAACTCGAAAAAGATCTCTTCTCATATCATGTGCATTTTCTAATTATACTATTAAATTTGGGTATCTATTAAGTGGGTTCTACACCTATTTATATATTCGTTTGAATACACACCGGGCAAAATGCTGACATGATATTATCTTGTGAGACTAAAGCTCTTAGATCATTGAAGCTAACTCCAAAAATCCTTACAATTTTGAAGTACTTTCTTGAAAAGGTGTGTATAAAAGTGCACAAATTTACTTAAATTGTTTATTTATGAAATATGTTTGTTTTATTTATGAAATAGATCTGATAAATCTCGAGATTTCTTACTGTGTGCCGGAATCGGTGGGCCCAGCTCGAGTGATAAGCCAGGGTCCCATCGAAACGTGTTTTCAATAATCATGCGCAACTTTCTTTTCCCAGTGCGTACCCATGAGCACCGCAGATATCTGTCCAAGTGGATGGCTAGAATCTGTCCGAGCAAGACCACTTGGGGATTCGGGGATGCGATGGGTGTTCAGGAATAGCGCGAATCGAAACATTCGGAGCAGGTAGAATACTTACTTAATGACTGTCTGCATGTTGGCCGTTTCTAGTCGGTTTTTGTGATGGACCGACAATATTTATTTTACTGCGCGACAAGTTTGCTTAATTTCGTTATCGTGAAGTTAACGAGAGGCTGCTAAGCTGTTGCAGAGAATTAATTGCATTCAGTAAACACTCAGCTCAAAATCAAACGAAACTTCAACGTCTTCGAGCGGTTACAGGCGTCACTTGTCTCTCCCTCGCTTCTGTATATTATTTATTGACTTTGGTTTGTTCAACTATTTAGCGAGCAATTAATTTACACAGCGCTCCAACTCCCGCTGATGGGAATTTGAAACAAACTGACACCAACCGTGGGCTAATCCGCAATCTTGAAAACTTGGAAACTCGCGGTGGAACTTGACTTAGCCAACGAAAGCTTTCACCGGCAATGTTGCCAGTTTAGCTTATTTCAGGCTAGAACTGGGATACCTGACAATGGAAAAGCTTTTGAAAATTGCAACTAACTCATAGCTTTAAAAGTAGCGTATGTTAATATTTATTAAGCAATTCCAACAAAATTGTTAAATATAGATATTATTTATACTACGTGTCTTTTTTTTTTGTAAAAGAAATATAAATATACCATCCGTATACTGAAGCTCAGTATACATGCGCCACTCTATTAAAAATAATGTGTCAAAAGAGCGGTGCCACATCGCTAAAATTTGAATACTGCATGAAACGAGGCAAAATATAGTTTTAATACATTATGGCAAACGTATTTTCGGTCTTTTAATAACTCTGTCTAATTTAGGCAAACATTTCAAAAATATTTTATCATAATATATATAAAAAACTGTTTAGATAACGTAAAGTTTAAAGAGAAATTATAAAATTACAGAAATTCAAGTCTATTTTATCTTGAACTGAGTAAAATTCCGAACTTAACATCGAAATGAGAGAAAAAAATTTTAATGTAAATAGTTTGGGAACTAGTTTTACCAATGAAATTAAAGTATAAGTGGTCAAAAGGAATCATACTGACTGTAATAGCTCAATAAGTTATTGTTTCCCTTTTCTTATTTTTTTATATTCAGTATTGCCGATTAAAAATATTATCATCGACATATGTTTGTACTCTTACTAGTAATTACTTAATCCAAAATTTCCCCAATATTCTAAAAAATGTTGTTTAAACAAAATCTACATTTTATAACCATAACTGCTTATTTAATGAATTAAACTTCTGTTGTAGTAGCCAATGCGCTAATTAATTAATTAATCAATAAAGTCCCAATCAGCGATGATTATGTGGGTGGTTGAATTGAAAAATCCGTTAAAAACCAAAGTTACAGCACAAGTTTCTGTAAATGTTTTATTTGGAATCATCCAATAATGAAATATAAATCAAAGTGTGCCACACTATATTTTCTAAAATATACAGAAATTTAAGCGCATGCATATGTATGTACGTTTTGATGTAAGGGGAAAAAGAAAACACCACATAATAATAATAATATCCGAATCAGACATTTCTATATATATATAAATTATAGCCTTCATAGAAATAAAAGGGTACAATTAAAAATAACTCCATGAAACTTGGATAGAAATTCTGAAAACAACAAAATTGTTTCACATTATATTATAAAATAAAATGAAAAACAAGACATACATAGATAAGAACTGGCCAAAGAAATCATCTTGCTAAATTTAGGAAGTTTTAAAATAAGCATATTAAAAAAAATATGTATGTATTTCTATATGATATTCATGAACGTGTGCAGCTTAATGTGAACAAATGTGCACTTGCAACAATAAAATTAAATAACATATATTTAAATACTAGACAGCTAAATTTACTAATACAAAAATTACATACGTATTTAAAATTCATTTTTTATTGGACATGTCTGAAGAATGAAGATTTTATAATTTAATTTACCCGAATCACCCGATTAAAGAAAAACGCCTAAGTGCATGCTACACCGTTATCGTGAGAACTACGCCTAGGAAACGTTAAAAATGCGGTTTATTTTGGGTTTTCTTGCAATTACATACTTTATTTATTGAATTTTGCAACTCGTTCGATCACCTTTACGTACACCACATGCTCAGCACATCGTTTCTGCATATGTGCTGACATGTTTTAATACTATTTAATGTGTTTCTTTTTTACAGCGCATTGATATATATATTATCCTCTTTCGTTCTTCAATCTTCAACAACAAATTGTAATTTGCGTTCTGCCGTTGAAAACTTGACTTAAAAGCGCATGTGTGTGTCTACTTTAGAAAAATATATATGTATGCCGTTATATATATTATGAAGTAGCATTTTTCAGATTACATGGACCGGGTACAAACTTGTATATAATTTCTGATTTCTCTTTATTTTTTTTCTCCTTCCTGGTGTGTTCCTTAACTAGTATAGTAAATGTCAATTATGGAAGTAAAATTCATTAAGAGTTCTCCAAAGATTGTGAGGCGGGGGTATGTCATTAAATAGTATTCATTACTACAATAGCGGAAAAAATTCGATTTAACAAAAAAATTATACATTTTTTGTAGAACAGCAAAATTGTACGATTAACCAATAAAAAGTATTCCGTGTCTTATTTTTGATGCCTAAACAATTTCAAATTCATTTATGTATTTGTTCTGCTGAGCAAACCATTTTTAAAGCGTCGATCGAAGCAAACAAAAACATATACATTTGTATGGCTTTTATGCATTAATAATTTGTTGCGTGTATTTAAATAATTTTCTTTCTGGCTTTCACGCTTCCTTGTTTTAGTACTAGTATGTAATACAGATTTTTATTCTTAGTACGACTATTACAAATTTTCAATTATTAAATTAAACTAAATTTAAACTTAAACATTTAGCAAAGGCGCGCCTCTAGCGAACGCTGTTCTATAATTTTTTAGTTAGCATTTGCTTGCTGGTTTCGCTGCCGTTGCACATTATCGATTTGCTTCGCTGGCTGCATTTGCTCAACCACAGAGGGCCCGAGTTCACCGTCAGATAATATCATGGAACATAAATCAGTAGGCCGATTCGATATACGATAGAGAATTAGTAACATGTGCCGGGCCACCTGAGCCGTAAGGCGTGTGGAACTCAAACGGAACTCAAAAGGGTCTGCCCGCTGCCTGTGACTTGTGTGAGTGAGTGAGTGTTTTTCGGGATAACTAAAAGTCTAGAAATAGTATAATATATGCATGTCGGGTTATTACGACTTCGATTTCATCATGGGTGCAATTTGGAGTTGACGAAATGATACCAAATAAGCATATGTACTTCACACTTAGTTCTGAGCACACAACAGAGCCTAATGCGGATGGAGGTGATGATGAATAAGTTACAGACCTAAGGACATGCAGCGAGATGTGTTCCTCATGCCGGATGAGAGAGTGTTGTTATGGAGGGTGTGGTGTGTGTGCGCGTTTACAGCAGCGTACAAAATACATTCCGGGCGGAGCTTAACTACTACCACCTTGTCCCTTGCCGTAGATGAGCTCCTCGCATATCTTAAGCAGGTCGGCGTTTTCACGTGTCTTCTGTTGCAGCTGCTCCGTCATTGAGACACGCGAAATTTCCTCCTTTTTGAGTAAAGCTTTCAGTTTTTTCACCTCGTCCGCATGCTCCCTCGTAATGTGATCCAGCTTTTTGTTGGCACTAAGTGGAAAAGGGAAACGAGATGGGATTAGCTAGATTTTATAGTGCGATTCTCAGTTTACTACTAACATTTCCAGCTGCTGCATGGCATGGCTCTTCATCTTGTCGTAACGCTGTTCCTGCATCCGCAGATTGTCCATCATCTGCTTTCGATCCGCCTGCAGCGACTCTTCGTTGAGCTTAAGTTGCGTTGTCATCTCTTTGCTCTTCTCGTATTTCCTGCAATGATGGTTAGTTACTCGATTGATCAAGACAAGACACACTGTCCTCGGTAGAGACAGTCGCCGCTTACACATGCAGATCGGAGAATGTGGTTTCCAGCGATGTTAAGTGATGGTAATTGGTATCCCGGTCTGTCTGTACATCCTGCAACTGCCGCTCATAGCCGTGCGCTTGCTGTTCCTTCTCACTGATCAGCTCGGCAATGGCCTTCTCATACGCCTCGATAACGCCACTATATAAGGAGAAGACAATAAAAAATAGGTGTTTTCCTTTGGCCAAAATATTATTATATACTCACTTAAGCTTTGCAATTGCTTTATCTTTTTCTGTGATACGCTTTATGCTCGCCTCCTCGCGTTGCTCTGCCTCCTTAAGCTTCTTCTCAATATCCTCTGATCGGGTTCTGAAAAATATATCCATTTGTGAGGACACATTAAAGGCTGCTTTTTAGATCAACTTACACTTCATTTTTTATCTTCTTCTCCATTTCATCCATGTTATTGTAGTTGTGGGTCATGTCCTCCTTGTTAAGGCTGGAAGTATAAAAGTAATCAACATATATTCAGGATCCAGAAAACACACTGACACCTGTTACTCACTTGGAATTATCGAAGGTTTTGTTGCAATCGTTATCAATGACGTCCACACTCATTTTAGCATGCTTCTGTGAAATGCCAAAACATAAGTAATTAGTTATAGTTACGGTAAAGTTGGCTATAATATTCAAATTCAAAAATCAAACTGAATAGGTGAAACTTACTTTGGTCCTATCCACAGGCGGCTTAAAGTCCAACTTCTTGGCGGTTTCTTTGGCACTCACTTCAATTCCAAACGACTGGCTGTTGCCTCCACTCGTCTCGAGCTCTTCCAACGTAGGACTGAGGACCCTGTTGTTCTGGTTCTGATTCAACCCGCGGATATTCAGCAGCGCTTGCTCCTGTTCCTGAGGCAGATTCACAGGAACCGGGGCACCTAGGAGCGGATCGAACTTTAGCAGCAGCGAACTGCGATCGATGGGCGCATTATTGCTGCCTTTCGTGTACAAATAGTCAAAATCTGATGAGTTTAGTATTACTGCGGATGGAGTTTGGTTGTGTTTTGTTTGTGTGTGTTTTTGTATATGTTTGGATGAGGTGCATGCGCGTGCATTTCGTATTTGTGTTTGATGGGGGTAAAAAGAGAAAAAGACAAAAACTATAGTTAGTCACTGGCTTTTGCAGCTCGTCTCCATCGGCTTCGAAATCAGTTTAAATCAATGTCAACGTCAAGGCAATTTCCTTTGACCTCCTCTCGCTACGGAAATGGACCATTAATAGGTACAAACATTGCACATACAAACGAGGACTGGTAAACGCCCCTTAAAAAAGCAATGCAAGTGGGTTTAATATGGAAACCAAGCGAAATGAGTGGGATTAGATAGGAAGAGAGACTAAAAGTAATAAAGCAATGTACTTTCTGATTCGGTTAAGCTCGATTTGTGGTTGTTCTTACTTGGATTTGATATCAATACGTTTAATTTCAATCATTACAAAAGAGATATTCCTTATCTTCTTTCTTTACCCTTAATTGAGCATTTTAACTATATAAGATATGATCAAAGTTTTAATGGCTTTGTTTCTACTGTCATTATCAACACGGGTAGCATTTCTTATCTTTTCCACCAATTTTGTGTCACTTTATTTACAATCTACAAATTTCATGTTTCCTTAAGCTAATTCCGATATTTAAAAATAACTAGGATAACGTTTTAAGCAGTTTATGCATTTATAGAATTTAATGCTAATTATATACAATTTTAAACTTTTCTTAGGAGCGAAATTAAAAAAAAAAACTTTTGAATCAATTTTTAATAATTTTAAAAAAAACTTTATATTGAGAGAAAGTTTTGTGAAGGTCGATTTAAAATGTATAAACTTATAAAAACTAAGAGGGAATATTTGAATACATAAAATAATTCCCCATCGCGTCTCTTTTTTTAACATCTTTGCTTGTGTGACTCGTTGAAAAGAAAACAAAAAAAACGGAAGGAAGAACAATGACAAAACCGAATATAAGATATAGCATGACTCAAAATGAACGTCTCTCCCTACCATTCAACCCCCAGAACCCCAAACCAAGAGATCCCAAGGGGCTGGAAATAGAGGTGTGCCGGTTCTGTAGAGAAGCCCGCATTATTATATTTCGCTTGCACATGAAAGAATTTCGATTTCTTTAGTTAATTTAAGCATTGAGGGTCAGAGAAAATGTTTTGATTTAAAAATGATTTAAAGGATTTTTAAAAGTAGGCATTTAAATATCTTAAATATAAGTCGTTTATTTTGTTTTCTATATGTAATATTTTGGAACATTTAAAACAATTTAAAATTCATAGCAACTTTTAAAATTTCAATTAAATTGGAAAGTTTTCAGTGTTCAGCAAGAAAGAAATGGAAAGAATACATAAACAAATTGGCGGCTTTAAAAATAGTAAAAACAGTGCGAGAACCCGGGCAGGCCCAGATACTATATTTTGCAGTGATAAAAGCCAAAATGCAGGTCATCTGTAGCCATTATTTACTTCATTTGTTTCAGTTTCGAAAACCGACCAGGGAGCAAAACAAACCAAAACAAGAGGAAACGGTGACTTTGTGAGTCATTTTATGCAATCGACGAAAGGTTTCCAAAAGTGGGTTGCGACAAGGGGGCAGAAGGAGAAAGAAAGAGAGAGCGCGGTGAAAGAAAGTGGGGAGTGTGGAAGAGCGAGAGAGAGCAGCTTTTCACACTGTGATGCATTTTAATTGCGTGTCTTTGACAAGTTTTGCATTTTCAAGATTTTCTACAGTTATTCACTCAATAATGTTAACCGTGACCACGCAGCGCCCACACTCATATGCCCGCGACCGTACACACACACACACACACACACACACACACACACACATGGGGCCAATCGCACAATGAAGTTTCACGCTCTCACTCTCGCGTATAATTTTTCTTTGAGACTTTCGGAGTCTTGCCTTGTGGCTTTATTTATGCTATTTGTTGTTTTTTCTGCACAGCTGCTTGTTACATTTCCCATTTCTAGCACTTTTAATGAGTTAACCGCAATGCAATGCTTGTCCGAGTTTAGTAAACAAACTAAATATCCGTTTTAGGTTGCCTTTTTAAATTTACATTTGCTGATTTAGCAGTTTGAAGAGCAATAACAATGCAATACAGCGACGACGTCAAATGTTGAAAACTAACTGAAATGGAATTTCTTATTGCTTACATTTCTCTCCGATTCCAATAAGAAAACCAGCGCACGCACGCGAGCGAGCGAGAGGGCGAATGGGACGAGCCTGAATTCTGACTGGAGTGTGTGACAGTGACGCGTATGCAGCAATGAGCAAGTGCGCAGAGAGAGCGTTCGAGAGAGCGCTCTGTGTACACGTTGTATGTTTGGAGTTGTATTCCCTTTTTCCCGCACGGCCCCCATATAAGACCCTCTCGCTCTGATGCAGCTGTTATGGGGCTGTAAAAGTGCATGTTCTAACTAGAATTCCTATGCGCCAAGGTGTGTGAGTGTGTGTGTGGGTAAACTGGAGAGAACATGCGGATAAGAGATGGGCACTACAGTGGATCTTGGATTTAAAAATCATTGTTTTGAACTTCTTAGTTGTGGCGTTTAAAATGTATAACTTTTAAAATCGGTTCACCTCAAATCAAATGTGTTGATGATATACGATTTAACAACGGCCATATTATAATAAACTATTCTGGTTAATTAGCAAGATAAATTTGATACTATTAATGAAGATTTACTGTACTACTCTATGAATAGTGGCAAGAGAGCGGTAGAAAATCTCTCAGACTTTGTTGTTTCATGGTTGTGTGGGTCAGAGATAGCCAGAGTTGCATTTTCCTAGTCAGCGATAACGATAATTTGGCCGCCAATATAAAAAGTGATTCAAAAATACTATTAATAGTATGTTTGTTAAAAACATGCTTATTATGTAACATGCGAATATATACATACATATATACAAATTTGTCTTCTCTCAAATTATTTAATTTCATAAATGCGCAATTATCGCATTAAGCAATGAGTCGCCTTAATTAACCAAAAATATAAATGCGCTCATCAGGGCACAAATACCGAAGCGTGGAAATACAGAGATCCACCAAGAACTGACAGCGTTTCTTCAATTAGCCAGAGTGACGTCACACTAAGAGTAGTTGTAGTATTTGTATTCGCTTACGATATTTTGCTGATAAGGGCTCCACTCAGAGAGAAAGTCAGAGAGCGGAAGAGAGTACCGGAGAGAGTAGACGGACAGAGAGAGCGTAATGCGGCATTTTCCAGAGAATAGAGAACGTAAAATGCATTGGCAGCAACAAAAACCGGGAAGCAGGAAGAAAACGTGCACACAAACACTGTGCATTAAACAAAAAACGTGAACTACTCCATGGGCTCTGCCATTCAAAAACTAAATTATGCGCCTAATTGACACCGGGTCCCCTTGTTTTCGTTGCTGCTCTTTTTGCCTTTTCCGCTCTGCCCCGCGAGTTTCCCATCCTCTACGATTTGAAGTTCAGGTTCATTGCCTTGCATGTGTGCTGTGTTTATTTTTACAGTTAGATATATTCCATGCCAACAAGGAGGGAACTCTGGGTTTCGAGTTTACCGCCTCCATAATATTTCAAGTTCCAAAGTTATTGGGTGGTGCAGGCAGATTGGTGCTTGGGTTGAGTGCATTTAATGGCCGATGAGCTAAGGTCACGAACATGCAAAGGAATCAAGGAGAACCAACCAAGTCCCGTTACAAGCAACTACAGTCAAACTTTGTAAACTAGGGAAGAGTATAATTTATATGACCTCTATGTAAATTAGGCAGTCGTTAACTTTAAATTTATATATTTTTTAAATTAAGTGAAATTTTACCATTTATAATATGATTTTGAAGAAATTTTTCTAAACCGATATAACGCTTAAAAGAAATTGAAAGATTAAATGTAATTATATATATCTCAATAATTAGAGCTCCGATTTGTTAGTTCAAATTGCAGAAAATTAACTGGAGATTAGATGATAATAGGAACTTCTTTGATAATATCAATATGTGACATAAGGCTGTTAAGTGTCCTAAACATTTGTTAAGCAATAAATTTTTTAATAGAGATTCTAACTTCTTACCCCGAACAATTAAATTACACCATTAAAAAAAAATTCACTCTTCCACTCTCCACTAAATAAATAATTAATGACAACTAATTGTCAAGTTTGACTGTAGTTAAAGGATTGACAGATTTTATATACATATTTAAAATTAAAAACCTTCGACTTACGATTTTGGTTGCTGGCTCCATCTTGGAATTCGGAATCAAACTGGTCCTCCTCGCCTGATCCTCCACGTTTGGTACTGCCCACCATAGGAACAGCGCCCCCACCGCTTCCGGCGGCAGCATTAGCCTTAATCTTGGCTTGATTGTGAAAGCCGCTAGTGGTAAACTGCGGTGTCTTGAACATGTCATCTGAGACTGGTGATATGGCACCAAAGTGCTCCACAAACACATCATCCTTCTCGTCACCGGCACTCAAATGCGCCTGCTCCTTGGCGGACAGCTTCTGCTCTTGCTCCAATACAACGGTGGAATTCCCTAGAGGCGACACTGGAGAATTACCATCATCGTGGATGGGAGGTCGTCTTAGATTCTGGTGGGTGGGAATCGGCGGCGAGTTTGAAACGAAGGGCTCAGCCAGTGGGTGCTGCTGAGGTGATCTTAGAACTGTGGCCTCCTCCACCCGCATGGAGACATCGACATCCATGGCTTCGAAGTCCTCACCAGCCATGCATTCCTCGGTGGCCTCAACTGCTGGCGATGCATTCTGCTCCAGGCAAAAGGTGCGTCTTGGTTTATCATTTTCCATATTGAAGGTCTTTCGGGATGACGCTTTCTCCTCCTCCGGAGACGGAACTAACGAAAATGTGCGCCGCTGATGCTCAGGGATGGATCCCAACTGTACATCGAAGGTCGCGGAACCCTCCAGGGGAGTACCCTCCGACACGAACTCTGGTGTGGCATCTATCCTGCTGCCGCTGTCGAAGGTTCCATTAAGAGGCGTTGGTGAAACATCGTTCGTGGGCAGAGTTTCGTTGAGATTCTTTGGCTTCGGTGGGCTGGGTTCTGTCACCTGGATGACCACTGGTGATTTGGCGATCACTCCTGCCTCATAGACACTGTGCTTGCGATCTAAGGAAGGTTCTACAACAGCTTCTTCTAAGTAGGTCATCTCCTCCTGCTCGGGTGGAGCATGCGGAGAACGAGGAAAGTGAGATGGGGGCTCTGCGGGTCCTTTGATCGGGAAGCTTGGTGATGTTGGTGCAGAGGTTTTCCCTTTGCTAATGGTAGAGAAACTTTCAACTAGCTCCAATGACAAAGGAGTTGTAGATCGCCGCTGACCTGGTGCGATTACTGCCACTGGCACGTGATGTTGAACTATATCCCTCACATCCTTCTGGTCATCTGCATCAATATCATCATCAGGTAGGGGCAATTCCCTTAGGGCTAGGAATTCTAATTCCTCAGCAGTCTTTGGACGATGTGTGGGTATTGGCGGAGAAAGCGGTAACTCCTGCCGTTTGGCCTGAAGAGTTGGTACGGGCGGAGAGAGTGGTGGTGCTGCTGGACAGTCTGGTTCTGTAGGCTTTAACTCTGTGCACTTTATAGGTTCGACTGGCTCTGACTCTGGAACAGGCAGTTTTGTTTCCTGTTTCAGTGTAGATTGTTCTAAGGCAGCAGATTCTATTTTAGGTTCTTCAGATTCTGGGAGAAGCAACGTTGAATGCGGTATTTGGGGCTGAATTGGCTCTTGGGTTTGATGATCGGCCGATTGGATCGACTCCAGCTTCTGCGGTTCCATCAACTGTGGTGACGGATTTTCCTGCAGATTCTCCTCATCTTTCGGGCTGGGAAGCGAATTTGGCTTTAGTTCAGGCTTCTCAATTTTATCTTCAGCATTTTGTGCCGATGCCAGAGCTGATGATGTCAACTCCGATTGATGTGCCGCAGGCTCGGGTACTTTGGGGGTAGGTTCCTGTCCTTTAGTTTTAAATTCTTGATAGATCTCCAACTGTTCCAGGATCTCAAATGATTCGTCCATTTTTTCTTCCTCCCTTTTCTGTTCGCCGTTGGATAATAATGGGTTAACATCAACAATTGGCTGACATTCGCTAACAACAAATTGTTGCTGCAACAACTGATGATCTTCCGAACCGAGGACGTCCTTTAGCATCTCCATGGTCTCGTTAATATCATCCACATCCATAGGTTCATAGCTGAGGTTGTGCCGGCTGACAGCTAACGGGTCGTCGAATGTGTTCTCCAACGTGGCAGCCGAGGTAATAGACAATTGGTACTCCAACACATCGTTGAGAGCACTGGAATAGGCCTCCAGCTCGGAACGATCCGCCGTGTACCTCTCGCTATGATGCGACAGGCATTCCACAAACACATCTGAGTCAGATTGGTCTGACTTCATTGGGCCTGCCGGAGGAAATAAAACTAAACAAGTTTAAAATATTATATTATTACATCAATAGAATTTGTTCTTACCCTCCATTTCGCTTAGGGGCGCTAATTCCGGAATCTGTGTCTCGTCAAACTCTGGTAGACCACCGAATTTCGTAGCTGCGCCCGCCACATCCAGCTTGGGGCCCAGAGCAGCTGCCAGAGCCTTCTGCTGCTCCATGGTTGATGGCTTGGGAGTGGGCTTCACCGCCAGCGGACTAAGCTGGAAAAACAAACGAGAGTCGCAATTATGTAGGGGCAGAAAATCAAAGAAAATTAATTACAAATTGTATGCATCGCGTGCAACATGATTCGGAGCAACGCGAAAAAAAATCATCATGATCCAAACAATCAAAAAATCAACAACAGAGGATGGTGATGGGGAAGGGAATAATACCGAACAATCGCTTGCAGCAGCTGTTTGTGCATTTAATTAAGAATTGTTGACACTTTGTTTGAGTGAAGAGAAGTGGTAAGGGGCTTGGGCTGACGACAAAAATAGGTTGCATCTGGGCCTTAAGGTGGATTGCCCTTTACCGAATAATTACAGGTGTGGTCTGATTTGATTCGTGTTGTATACAACATTATTTTCTAGTACATGTATAACTTATTTTATATATTTAATTTATTACAAGAAATTTTATGTATGACCTAAGGTTACGATAACTTTAATACTATAGCGCTTACAATTATTATTAATCTCCTTTGAACGCTTTGGTAAAAGAAACCTGCATCCCATTCCCTATATAGCTAATTCAGTTGATGCCTCCCACATTGTGGCACCCCTCTCACCAAAAGAGAGCACGCTCACATCCCCATCGCAATATCGTTGTCTCAGTCGGTCAACCAACAAGCAAATGTCATTAATTTAAAAGCCAGCCAAGACGTGGGAAATCGGGCACACGAGAGGGAATGGGGCGTCAGGTGGACCGGGGGACGTGGAACTGGGTCGGTGTCGGCGTCGGCTTTTGTGCAGTGCAAAGAGAAAATCGGAAAATGCGGCGGACTTGATGGGGCCGGCCCGGGTCCGGCGTTTATTTTCCGTTCATTCTCAGGGCCTTGGTGCAATGTTCTACACGCGGAATTTAATTAGAGCGCATTATAGCACGATGATTGTTGCCGCAAGGTTAAAGTCAGCTAGATTAATAGAGAAAATGGTACAAGAAAAGGGTGCTCCTATGATCTATGATATTTTGAAGAGGACTAACTATACAGGGCACATTATTAAATAATATAAGTTCAACAAATAATAGTCTCACTATAACGTAATTAAATTTAAATGGGATCAAGAAAAGATATGTTTTCGAGATAGTTAAATTTAAATGGGATCAAGAAAAGATATGTATTCGAGATAGTTATAAATTTACGATTGGGATAGATAGATTTAGGATTAAGTAAACTAATCCCCAGTGAGCAAAGAGATAAAGAAACAGACAATGCATTCCAAAAATACACATTATGACTGTATAAAAGCAATACTTTGAAACGCAATAATTTGGAAAAACACAAAAACCTGAATATGAAATTTTAAAATAAGTAAAATAAAATGTGCAATTATTTAAGGACTAGTCCTGGGCAAAATTCAAAATCATCCATATCTTCTCTTTGAAAAATAACCAGGGATAACCGACTTAATCAAAGAAATTTAACAACGCAAAAAAAATATTTAACAAATTTTCAACGCATTCCACACGCAATCCACACATTGGCAGTGTATTCAGTTGACACTTACCTCGCCACTCATGGCCTGCAAGTGCTCCATTTCATTCGCACTGACTTGGTTTAGATTCAAATTGATATCGCTCAGAAGCTGCTGGATGGTATCCCTACTGGTGCTTGAAGGGGTTGCTAGTGGGTCTTCAATGGGGTCACCTAGGATTAGGTCACTGTGCTGTTTTTCCAACAGCAGCAGATCCTCCGATGCAGAGTCGAGTAAAGTATCCAGATCTTGGGAGTGCGATGGCTTTTCTTGATTGACCGCCAGTGAAGGGTGTTCCTCCGCGGAGCTAATAGCTTCTGTGGCTTCCATAGCCGTTGGCTGTTTGCCACTGGCCATGCTCTTGGGCTTCTTGATGATATTTGCGAGGAAGTCCATAAGGAGATTGCTGATGGAACACTCTACGCACGATTAACTTCCCAGACGCTTCACGGTTCACTCGATTCCATAAACCGATCGATCGATCGGGTTCTCAGTTGTTCTTTAGTGTTTTGTGACTTTTTTCGGGTTTCGTATTCAGTTATGGCACGCCTACTGTGGAAATTGTCGACTGTGATTTTCCGCGCTCTGCTCTCGCATTATATATTGAGTAATAAACCGCCGAGATTCTCGAGACCCAACGCCGCGTGCGTTTGTCGCTGGCTCCCGATCTTGTCTGTCTTTGAAATCAATTTAAAAATATTTTCGTTTTCAATTTGCTTTGCTCCCGCTCAGCATCGCACACACAATAATGCCTCTGCCTAGGGGAGAGACAGTGGCCGACCGGCACAGAGAGCGAGAAAATTCGAATGGCATCCACACGAACGCAATCCGGAAGTTTTGTGACTATGCGATCGGATCGCCTGTAGCCTAAATTTTCCCCGTTTATCAGCACAAGATCCGCTCTTTTTTCAATGTTAGTTTGTTTTTCCCGCTACTTTGGAGGATCTCTTATCACGTTACGAATATAAACTAAGTATATACTGGATATTATTATTAAAAAGTGTTGGTAACTTAATTTTAGACAATTTATTAAATATTATTATTTTTTTACTCATATCTCTTGATAATGAAACCCTTTCTGAAATGTAACAGTTATTTTAAGCATTTTAAAACTGCGACGATTGTTTAACCTTTGAAGGGGTGGAAACCGTTTTAAAAAACATTCGATATAGACAAACTATTTATATTACTTTAAATGCAACAGTTTATTAACACTTCGAAATGACTTATCGCCACGATAGCTGATCGCTTAGAGTGCGCGTGGGCAAACGATAGTAATTTAATTGATATAACCGCTTAATTGATCCCAAAAATGTGGACCCAGCCACAGACAACCTTCATCGATGAATTGCAGTGAAAAACTAAGAAGCTAGACGAGCCTCAGACTCAACTCAAAGGCAGAAGTGCAAAATGCAAGACACCGCAAAATAAGCCGAAACACTCAGAAAAGGCCAATAGAGAAGGGCTGGGGGGGGGAACATGAAAATAGGGCGACCGGCAACACTAATGAATGAAAGTCTTAGTCAAACAGCCCGTACACAGAACGAAAAATGGATCTATGCAGACAATGGTTATTTGTAGACTAAAACCAGTTCTATTACTTTTTGAGAAGGGTTTGATTGCTTTGACCTAAAGTCTGTAAGAGGCTCCTTCTCCATTTAGAGCATATCCTATATTATTCAAAAATTCAGTTTTAAGTTCTAGCTTCAAATTTGTTCTCTCTCTGTAACTCTTGTGGATGCCAAGTGACATGCAATCCCACTGCAATTGTTGCGCATCACGGGGCACTATCCACAAGTCCACGAGTCGAATCGCATCGAGGAAGTGCTCCACATTGCTCCACGGCTGACTTTGCATATTTCGCTAGAAAAGTCCCGCCAATGTGAAACGAAATATCCCACACGATGGGCAAGGTGGCAAGTGTTGGATGTTAGTTTTAGCGTTAGTCAACCAATGCGTGACAGGTGACAAGATAGCACCAGTTGCACCTGAGTGGAATGAAACCAAGTGCAATCCAGCGATGGGAACACAACACAAACAATAGACGATGCAAGGGACGTTTGAGTGGGGCCATAAATTATAAGTAAGCTTAGCTAAAATATAAACAAAAACATTGTTTTCATGGTGCAAACAAACAATTTAAAACAATACTAATTTTAACTAGCTTTTATTTGATATAAAGAAGCTCAAAAACTTTTGATCAAACAAATTAAAAAACAAAACCAAACAAACAAAAAAAAATGTATATAAAATTCAAATACCCTTCTCTACAACACATGGCAAAAATTAAAGAAAGCAAATATAGTGGGGGAAGCGCAGCAGTAAAATGTACTATAAATAGGCGAAAAACAAATGCAGACAACTCTTTGGACAACAATTTGGGGGAGTCTGCAGCTCGATCTCCGGGTGTTCCGTAACGAGCATCGTTGGTGGCAACGGGGAGACTAAATTTGTCAACACAGCCCGGTTTCGGGTGTTCAATGAACTTTACTTGAGGTTGCAGGAACTCGACCGCATTGTATACAGATTGTTAACTACACATAAACATAGAAGAAGTTTGAGCATTAATCTTCAGACCACTGGCTAAACAAAGATGTTTATTAATTTGATTAAAATTGTACAAAATACTCAAAATAATATCACTAAAGAGGCTTCGGATCAAGTGATCCTCATTTCTGTTTTGGCAAAACAAATCGATTCCATAATTTCTTTCAGAGCTATCGATCCCAAATGGATAGATTTATTCCGATCTTGCAGTCTGGATCAAGAACGACTGCATCTGGACAATGAGAAATGTCAAGAGGCCGCCGACCACCATCCCAAGATTTCGAAGATAATATACATATATAGCACTTGTAGATAATCCATTTAATGCAGAAATGTCTAGAATCTGCTTACGGCAGAATACTTCTTATAAACATTAAAAGAAATACGTATAGCAAACTATTGAGTCCGAAAGGTGGCGATTAAATAAGGTAAAATTGGTTTCTTTTATAAAGGGTTATTTGTTATTTGTATCGAACATAAAAGCGTTTTTATCTTTTAATTAATGTTCAGTTTTGTGTTTCTTAAATAAAATTCGTATAAATCCACAGAAAAAATTTTAATTTTTATAGGCAATGGCGTGGAAACCCCCGAGTTAATGGATTTTACATTTGGCATACCGGATTCCCTGTTGTGTTGTCCGACTTTATTGGTCGTTTTCCCAGAGAGGATGCTCTCGATTTCTTTGTCTTCCCTGGCTTATTGCCCATTTTTAGGGCTGGAATTAGTAAATGGGATCTGGAAATCAGGCTGCCGGAGGAGTTGGATAATGTCCGGCGGCGTACACCGATCAACTGGGGAGCACTCACCGGCGACAGCTGCCACAGAGCTAATAAAAACAACGCGCGCAGATTGTATACATATGTATACAAAGGAAAATAGCAAAAACAGGCTGTGATCGGAGACGTACATGCACATGTACATGTACATAAGTATGTGTACATTAATTGCAGGAGAACGCGGAACACATGCTAGAAACAGAACGTTTGACCAAATCGCACTTGGGCGGTTCCACGAGACACGCCCCCAAGCTGATGTATTCCTACTCCGCTTACCTTGACGCCGCCATCGTTCTTGTTGATCTCTCGCAGAACTCCGCGAGCGCCGAGCCCCATCGCCAGCCCATTGTCAGCCGCATCGTATTCCATAACTTATATACAGGGCCTCGTTTTCCTTTCGGCCAATTTCACAATGCAGCTGTTTTTCTTATAGTTATCTGCTGGCTAAATCTTATTAATGCGATGTTTGGTTAGGGTGACGCTGATTTGTATGTTGTTTTTGTCTGAAAATGCCGCTACAATTTGAAGAAGCATAATAGTCAGAGTGTGACCGTTCGTTTTTCGGTGGAAATTGTCATTCGCCACTGAAAATATACCAAGTAAATTAAATTAAGGGGTTGCAGTGCAGTCATGTAGAATTCGAGTTTTGTAAATTCGTCTTTTACAAATGGATTGACTTATAAGCCAAGTTGAATACGACTAATTTACTGAATTAATTTATTTAACCAGTATGGTCATTTAATTAGACATATAGGGAACGAACCAAACAAAATCATACGCTAGATTTTAAACCAAAACCCAGCCGCAAGATATGGATTTTTTATTCACCTCTATAATCTTTTAATATTTTTACTACTGGACCTTTCATTTAGCAATCCTAAACGTTGATTTATGCGAACTCTGTAGCAACATTTCAGTCATTTAGTCGACCTCAGGGCCCTTACATCGAAATTCCAAAAAAGTAATTAGTATGTAACACCTGTTTTCAGCTGCCGATATTTTCTTTCAGTCGTACAGTGAATACTATGAATATTTTTACACAGCGTTGCACAACTCCCGAAAGTAGCATTCACGCCTTTCTCTTCCGTAAGAAAAACATAGTGTGAATAAAACATATTTTTATTCAGTATTTTCATCATTTTTGTATACATTGAATGCATTTTTGCATCTTATTTCATTATACATACAGTGTTTGAACCTGCGAGAAACATTTTATTAAAACGCAATTTTGTGTAGTTGCTGTCTCGAAAAGTAAACCAGTATGGGCAGAAATAATTATACCCGAGCTGGGATATCTGCCCAAACGTCGATGGACGTAACTGGTACCAGCGGCTGGTATGAAGGGAACCAATCCTCTTTGCGTTTTGTCAGTGCTCACAACTCTTCTATGACGGCAGCTGGTTACAACGCTATTGCCACAACGACATCGCAACACCATCTTGCAAGTGCCTTCATCAAGACAGAGGTTGAAACAAATGACGCAAGTTCGCCGAACCCTAGCACCAGCTCCCAGCGAAGGGATGGGCCGAGGCGTTCTAGCGAGGGGATGAAGGCGAAGGCGCAGTACAAGGCGGCCCTCAAGATCCAATCACGGCTCCAGGACAGAGTTGACCTTTCTGTAGAGGAAAGGGAATCGTTGGCCTGGGCCGAGAAAAGGATCGAGGAGAGCAGGCTGCACTTCGCCAATATTCCGAACATGAAATCCACGAGCGGGTTCGCAAACAAGGTGGAGGAGATGTTTGCCAACAAAAAGCAACGCTCCGGCGATATGGGCGGTCCGGTGAACAAGCGGCAACGCGAGCCCAGGGATGCGGGACCTTCACCCATAGCGAGCGGTCCGGCAAGCAAGCGGCAACGCGAGCCCAGGGATGCGGGCCCCTCAACCATAGCGAGAGGTCCGCCAAGGAAGCGGCAACGCGAGCCCAGGGATGCGGGCCCCTCAACCACAGCGAGCGGTCCGGCAAGCAAGTGGCATCGCGGGCCAAAGAATGCAGAACCGCCGCCAATAGCGAGGAAGCCTAACAGAAGGGCGGAACCGAGGGAAAGTCAGGTGCATAGGCAAAACCTGATCGTGGCGCTCATTGACCGTAGTGACGAAAACGGCCAGATGACTGAGGAGCGGTGGAAGACTGTGAACGCACGGCTCGTAAAATCTCTATTCGCACAGATGGAGGGAGACCCCAATGCTCCCATGCCTACGTTTGATGGTGCCGGGTGGCTGAATGGGGTAAAAATCCTGAAGTGCATGGACGTCCCAACTTTGAAGTGGCTGACGCAAACGGTCTACGAATTGGAACCGCTGTGGGAAGGGGCCGAACTGCAGGTGGTGAACAGGTATTTAATACCCTCCAAACCGAAGGCAAAGGTACTCTTTCCCATCGCGGTCCAAAAAGACCACGCACTAAAACTGCTACAGCGACAAAACCCAGATGTTCCAACGGCAGACTGGAAGATTCTGCACCTCGCGAACCCACAGAAAGAGGGGGGTCAGAGTGCGATACTCCAGATAAACAAGGAGGCGGAGGACATTCTATATCCCAGATACGGAAAGATGGCGTGGGGCATGGGTTGTGTATACCTGCGCCTTAAAAAGCGCCACCCCGGTGACATGGATGCGCACACCTTGCAGGCAGGCGAGGTGGAGATGGACCTAGGTCTGAACAACACAGTGACGCTGAACGAATCGGACGCGGAGGAAGATGACCTAGCAATGTTTGAAATCATGTCGGGTAGAGGTGTACACAGCACCTATGACACTTAGGTTGCTGCAGTTCTACCTCCATAATTCAAAAATGCATCTGTGGAACTCCTTATTGCCACGGAGCAAGGATCCGTGGACACAACTTTAGTCTACGAGCCCGGAGTTTGCATCGGGAAATGCTATGGCCAGTAAGAACTACAAACCTACAACCCATTTTACCCTCCATCGGGCAACGCTATGGACAGAACCTCCGAACTCGATCGAGATGGTCTCCACGCTAGCCTTATATCTTATTACAGCTCTGGTGATGCTAAAAAGCGAGAAGAAGCGGCTCCAGGTAAGTTCTTGCTGTATGGCAGAGGACAACTTAAAAGCCTGGTAAAAAACAGCCCTTAAGATCAGCTCGTGGGTACAGGCCTGAGAACGGCAGTGAGCCACCGGAACAAAATGGCCTATAGAAGGACGCCGAGACACCCGATTCGTTAAATGTCTATGTCTTAAATCCTTAATATAAGTATTATTATAAAAATAAAATGATCTAGATTTAGGTAATTTTGAAACAGGACAATATTTATATATCATCTCAAACTTATTTTCAGTTCTTAATCTTTTTCAGTTGAAATATAAATTTTGTTTGTTCTTAAAATTGTTATATACATATTTATTTTTATATACTGCTGTTTTAAAAAAGAGGGTTCAAATTGCAATGCTGTCAAATTTTGGGGGACAACATACTTTTTCTTAAAAGTATTTAATTATTTCAATTTGATAAATAACTCAAATAAACATAATGTTTTTAAAAGGGGGACCGACCCATTTGGGCTTGTTGAATTGGATGAAAGCCTATAATAAATTTTTGTTTCCATTTGATCAGCATAGAACAACTAAATTTGAAGGAGACTTCCGGCCAATAATACCTATATAAGGTATGCGGAATGAAATCCGAACAAAAACATAGAACATTCGACGTAATCGCGGTAATATTTCTGAGAACAGCAGAGCGTTGAAATTAGATTTGCACACATTGTGCAATAACCCATCTCAGCCAAAAATTAAAGCTTTTCATTACTTTTCAGCTATGGGCTTCAAAAAAGGGTTTATTCATAAAGTTATTTCTGATATTTAGAGTGGAAAAAAAGTTTGCCAACAAATGGTACACGAAAATCTAAATAGATTAAAGTAAATAACAATTCCAAATAAATAATAATTAATAAAAATCATAAGAAAATTGTAAGTTGGTCCGAATTGAAAACAAGAAAGGAGGCCAAATTCGGCACGCCAAAGTTTGTATACGCATGCAGATGGAAATTCGATCACTAGGAGTCAATGCAGTATAAATTATATATAATTATGTTAAAAAAATACAAGATAGAACTTCTATGACTAGGAATCCATACAATATAAATTATATATATTTGTGTTAAAAACAATGACATATTATATTTGCAGTTTTACATTCACAGATTTGCATTTTTCCTCTAAATCGATCGTTTGTATGGCACCGATTTTCATAAAATTTGACACAAAACTTAAAACTTATATAAAATGGCTATATCTCAAATTTAATGAAAATCTGTTGAAAACTGAAAAAGTTTATATTTTTAATTGTATTAATTTCTCGATCGTTCCTATGGGAGCTATATGATATACATAGTAGTCCAAATTTCCTTTAATTTTACACAAAATTGTAGATTAATATAAAATAGCTATCTCAAATTTGATGAAAATCTGTTGAAAACTGAAAAAGTTAATATTTTTAATTGTATTAATTTCTCGATCGTTCCTATGGGAGCTATATGATATACATAGTAGTCCAAATTTCCTTAAATTTTACACAAAATTGTAGATTAATATAAAATAGCTATCTCAAATTTGATGAAAATCTTTTGAAAACTGAAAATGTTATAATTTTTAATTGAATTAATGTCTCGACCGTTCCAATGGGAGCTATATGATATAGTAGTCCGATTTTCATAAAATTGTACACAAAATTGTAAAGTAATAAAAAAAGTATATCTCAAATTTGATCAAATTCTGTTGAAAACTGAAAATGTTATAATTTTTTTTTGTAAAAATTTTTTGATCATTCCTATGGCAGCTATATGAAATTGTCGTCCGATCCGGCCCGTTCCAATATATATTCGAGTGAGAGTATATAGAAGGCTAACTACAAAGTTTTATTCAGATAGCTTCAAAACTGACGGACGGACGATATATATACATATATATTCTTGATTAGCATCAAAAATGTAGTCGATTTAGCCATATCAGTCCGTCCGTCTGTCCGTAAGGAAGTCTCTCAGTTTTGAAGAAATCTGAATAAAAGCAAAGATCCTTGCCAAAACCACACGAAGAATTTAACTGATTAACAATATTATATATCCATTTCTGACACCTCTTGCAGTTCGGTAAATCTTTTAAACAATCAAGTACCTTAAAATTAAAACGATCAATAAGTTTCCTTGTTTTTTTTATGGGGGGATGCTTTATTAGAAAAATATTGCTCTTTTGCCATGCATAACATTTTCTTTCATATAGTAACCATTATCAGATAACATTCAACGAGTTGCCAAGCGTATTCACTAGGCAAAGTTGCAACTTTTAAAATATATGTACTTTTATATGCATAATTAATAATTAGACCTGAAACGCTACTAATTGATTTATATTAAAATTAGCTTGGTAATTGATAATTGTTAATTCATAATACATAATGGTAATAAAGTAATTAATAGTTACTCTAAAATTATTGATTTCCTCTATGCCCCTTGCAATTCATTATTTAGAAGTCGAGAAAGGTAATTGAAGTTTTCTATAATATTTAATTATTGTGTGACTACTCTTATATGTATGTCTTTTCATGAAATTCTCTCCAGGTGTTTACAACACAATCACTAAAATGTGGAACCGCAGGCCTTTAGAAGGATCAACCGCCAATAGTTGGCATTTCTATTAAATGGGTTCTACATGAGGTTCGATTCGGTTCGGTTCGGATCGGTTTTGGTTTAATTGTGACTGCGTAATACTGGGCTTGTCTCTCGGGGCGTGTTCCACATTCGACCGACGTACTAGGCTTATGAGACTACTTTTTATGGCTGCGCTGAAGCTAAACCCAGATTCATGTGTGTTTATGGCCTTCCGGGGATTAACTAAACTATAAAACTATGCCCTAAATTAGATTTAATGAAAAATATACATATATAGGTAATTAGTGGTTTATTTTTGGGCTGCCTTTGCGAGCGTCTTTTTCCGTTTAATCGGATTTGGTTAGGGACTCTTCTGCCCAAAGATCTAAGCTTCAGAGTTGACTACTAAAAAATGTTGGTATTTTTTTTACCTAGGGTGCCTAATATATTCCTCATTTGAGCACTTTTATTTTGGGACTAGGGTAAAGTTGAGCTCCTACTTTTTAAGTGTGCGAAAAGAGCTAGGTCTGCCTCGGACTTCCCCTCAAAAAAGTTTGCTAGTGTGCGTTACAAAAGGAGGTGCCCCTTACGTAATAAAGGGGCTTTATAAGTATATATAGTGTATATCAAATTTGTAGACTGTAGTTTACAAGTCACAGCACCACCAAAGTGAACAAAACCCAAGGTTCTAACTGTCTGCACTGCATTAGCTTAATTTTGAACAGCTGCTTCTACAATTAAACATTAGAACTATGTTCCTAAATCCTATCAAGCTCTACATAGGCAAGGCTCGAGAATGGTAAGTTAGTATCTCGAGACCTCCCCCGTGCAAAAGCAAGTACTTCTCCAAGCTAACATCGCTTTAAGCAACTGTTCTGTCAATCCCATCCTTGTTAAACAGCTTTTTCCTGCGCAACCTAATCTCGCGTTGGAGCAGATCACATTGGTGGGCCATCCTCGTTTATCTTGGTCGTCCAAATGCCGGGCATCAGTTGAGGAGGTAGATTTGATTGCGGCGTGGTCAGTTTCCTAATGGTGCTGTTCGCATGGATGGTTGGCTTCGAGCTGGGCGTGTAGCCCTTGTTGTCCATGCCGTCGATGATGGTGAACTGGGAGGCCACATTTTGTGCACTCTGGGCAGCCGGCGACGCGGGTCTTGAGATGGGATGTGTCCTTGGGCTGCTGATCAAGGCGGTGCAGAATCCGCCCCAGATGGCCAGCGAGGCAAAGGCCGTCTGGGGAATGAGTTGGCCCAGGACCACTGTGGACCCAATAAAGGGAGCTCCTAGCAGCCAAAAGCGAGCCCAGCAGATGGTCGAGAAGGCGGTGATTTTCTTTTTGTCATCAGAGACCAGTTCCACAGTGCAGGTAGTCAGGATGCTGAGCGTCGTCGAGATGGCCATTTTGGACACCATTGCCGAGCACATGAGCAGGGCCACATTCAGGTCTACTCCGATCACACTCTGCTGGGGACCAACCAGCCGCAGTAGGCAATACATCCCGCCACAATGTTGAAGAGCCCCGTCCACAGCCACTTGCGGGTGGTCTTCAGGATCAGGAAGAGGCCAATGAACGTGCCCACCATCTCGCTGAAGCCCGCGATGAAGGTGTTGATGTACAGGTGATCGCGGCTGAAGGAGCGTATGTTGAGCAGCATGCCGTAGTAGACGACGATGTAGAGCGACCAGGCCAGGTGCACGCACACCATGTGCCGCACCGCACGCTCGCCCTTCCACATAGACCACCACCCACTCGGCGGCGGGGCGTCCATCGCCGTCTGTGCCTGCAGCTCCAGCTGCTGGTCGATGTCGTGGGGCAGGTTGTAGCGCGTTCCATTCACCTCGGCGCACTCCAGCAAGATCTTCTTGGCTTCCTGCACCCTACCCCGGGCGATAAGCCAGCGTGGCGAGTCGGGAATCCACCTAAAAAATTTAGTTTAGGAAACGACGCTATTAAAACTACAAGCCTTGGATGCTTATTTTAATTACTTACTGCCATAGGTAGATGAGGATCACCGTGGGCCATGAGATGGCCATGTAGAGATGCGACCAACTGGACCAGAAGCTGGCCACTCCGGGCAGCATCATCACCCCAATAGACCAGAACTGCTCGAAGAGTGTGGAGACGCAGGTTTTATACTTCCCACCCGTTATGTCGGCCACTGTTCGGAGAAGAGAATTGGAGTATCCATTAGCTTCTGTCCTTTAAGCACCATATATGGTAAGTACTTACTGATCTGGCCACCTGCGGTGTACATCTGGGCACAGCAGACGGCGGAGAGGCACCGGAAGAAGACATGCAGCTCGTAGGAGGCAACATGGCCCGTTAGGTTTCCACAGAAGATCTGTGTGATCATGCCAAAGAGCATCACATTTCGGGGACTGAAACTGGAGTGGGAAGATGTAATAAATAAATAACCAAGAGAACATTCTACTCCTCTCAAGTGCAACTCACTATTTAAGCAGCTGATTGGCCAGAATGCCCCCAGTGAGCACACCGAAGAGATGGAAGAACTGTGTGACTGAGACGAGGATGTCCCGAGAGCAGACGAGATCGTACTGGGTCACCACGGAATGGTAGTCGGATTCGTGCTGAAACTCGGTGCAGGGAATCACATTAGAGTTGCGGTGCAGGGGCTTCTCCCACACTCGCGGCTCCTGCTCGCTGTTCTCGTAATTGTAGTAATGATGGGCGTGCTCCTGGGCATCCTGGTACACATTGCAAAAGTCGATGGAGAACTCCTGATCGTCGCTCTCCTCCTTTTGCGGATGGGAAACCTTGATCCACTGCGTCTGGTTCTGGGCTCCGATCGTGTTTGGTGGTTTGCAGAAGAACTCCCCGTGTCGGGGTGCCGGCGCCGTGAAAATGATGCAGGCCATGAACCAGGAGGAGGGGATCTTGCAAAGAAAGATCAGGAGCACAGTCCGTAGCTGCCATTTGCCCCAGGGGCCAGTGATGCGACCCACTGCATCCACTTTAGTCTGCATCTTGGTATTTGGTCTCGCTGACTTCCCTTCTAGACGGGCAAAGGTGTCGTTGGGATACAGCTGATATTCGTGCTGGTGCTTGTGGCTGGGAGTGCTGCTGGACAGGTGAGAATAGAATCCTCCCTCGTTGATGTTATTGTTGTTATTGTTGCTGGTGCTACTGCTGTTGTTGTTCGCCTCTCCTTGCGGACTCTCGACGTGGTCACAAGGCAGGGAATTCGGACAACTGGTCAGCGAGCTGCGACGACGACACTCGTTGGAAGCGGGTGGCGGCGGATGCTGGTGCGGATGCTGGTGCTGATGAGCTGGCCCAAGTTCGTGGTCGCCTGCTACGGTGCTGTACTGGTGGGGTGACCTACTGGCTGATATGTGCGAGGAACTCTGGACTCGAGTGGGCGATGGCTCGAGGTCGTCCTTCAGGGGCAGCAGGGGGGATTCTGCCTGTGTGGGCCGAAAAGAGAGAAAACATGGCAATTAGAATTTAAATTAAGGCTAATTGTAAAGGTACATGGCTGGAATAATAAGCATTAACTTAAATCAAATCCTCTTAATCTGTGAAAGTATTTTTATAGGTACATAGCCCGAATCACATTTAAAGGAAGTTAATACAATTTATTAGTTCTTATCTCTTGCTTGTGCCATTGCTATCCAGTCAAAAGGACAATTCAGTGGCATTCCTCCGATCATCCCCCACTGTCCTTGGACACTCAAGTGCAGGCTGCATCGTCTGGGACTTGGGTAGTGTCGCCCACTCACATGGCTCACTTGGCGTATCCCCGATTGCATCTCCAGGATATAATGAACATAAATTGCACAACCAAGTGGCCTGCGTCACTTTCTTCCTTGGCCCTCTCTTAAAGTAATTTGAAATCCCAGGAAAGCCGCAATGGTAATTGAAGAAGCTATTTATCCTTGTGCTTACATATATTTTTAAATGTAACATCTCCAGGCTTATCCTTGGGCCACGAACTTTAAGAGGGGTAATATGTACATCGCATCTGTCATCGCAAATATTACTAATTCGCCATATGCGTACATATTCCTGAACTAAGTAACTAGTTTGTGGTATGTAAATTTTAGCTTTCATTTGCATGGACCTTAATGTCACCCATATGACCACAGAATGTAATTGCCTTTGGGCACGAATTCTTTTAAATAACTGGTCAAAATATCAAACCTTTTCGTTCCACTTTAAGGAAGCACGTGTAATTAAACATTAAGTTTAAATATTAATAAAATATATGCACATCGCATTAGGTCTACATTTTTTAAGCCAAATAAAAACATTATTTTTTCTTAATTAGGTTTCTCTAATTAACCATCCTCATATATCTAAGCAGCAGAAAAACACAGAGCAAGCGAAAAAATGAAAACAAAAACTCGGCAACAGTTTACGACTTCTCATTTGGTTTCAGCATTTTTGGGTTGACAAATGTCCCTGGAGTCAAGAAAAAAACAACGGCAGACGCCCAGCTAAACAAGCCAAAAACCTCCCTTCCCCCACTCGGTAGTCTTATTCAGATGTTCTTGGCCAACAATTGCAAACAATTGCGTTGGCTCAGTGGGTTTTTGTTTTGTTCCGCCGCTGGGCCATCTTTTTTTGACTGTCGCATTTGTCGTCATTAAAGTTTTGTTTTTCGTGTGCTGCCTCGTTTAATGGGATCTAATATATGCGGGTTGTTTACTGGAAAACGGAGACCCACACACAGGGACTTTGAAAATCGAAAGTCCCGAAGCAACCATTAGGTGTGACCTTCAAAGGAATGCAGGCGAAGGCGAAACCTGAGAAGGGGAAAGGATCTGAATTGGGTTTCATGCATAATGCATTAATCCGCGGATTCTTTAGCGCCGATTGGTGGCATGGCATAAATTTTGCAAAGCGGGAAATTTGCAAAGGAAAAACAACCAAATCGGAGTGGAAAAAACATCAACAGAACGAGAAAAATAACTTTGATTTTCGGTCTGAAGGTCGTTCCATTGTCAGGAGCGATTTCCCAAGGATTCGCTAAGCCCGACGCCGGTAAGTATGCAATCATTTTATTAGTTCTCTGGGTCCGACCGCGTGTTTCTAGTTTTATGCGTCGCCTAAATGAATTCGTTTCCATATCTCTTCGCTTTATTCTTGTCTTTTCGGGTCTTATTTTCGTTTTGCTGACTGCCAGCAGTTGTGCAAATATCGCCAAGGTTAATGCCGATTGCCTTCGCTTGTTGTTTTATATCGGTTTTACGTTGGGAAAGGCTTGGAGAGGGAAAATTGAATTTTATGCGTCACGTGACAAATGGTTGAAAATACTGCCTGTTAAGATGATTCACTTATATAGTTAAGGGTATTGTTTACGTAGCTCATGCTTGAAGGATTGGAAGGTGTTCTTGACTGCATATTTACATGTTTTACTTAAACTTTAAAGAAAACATTGTTTCACTTTGACTTTGTTCAAATACCCAACCAGGACTTTGCCTAAGCCTCTTAGGAACTCATTTAATTTTTATATTTAATAATACTCAATTGAAAACCCATAGGAATTTATATCTGCCGGCCCCGAATGTGTTTCGTAAAAGTTTGTTTTTTGAAATTCCAAAAAAAAAGGGAAACAGGAAAGTGCCGAAGTTTTCATATTCTTTCCCACGGAAATTTAAATGAAAAGAAATTGGAAATTTGAAATATTTATTCTGAAAGTATTAAGTTTCACGAAGAAATTCCCATCTGATTACACCTTAAATTTTAAAACTATGCTATAAAAACATAAAAATTTCATTTATAGACGGTGTTCAATGTTCAACTATTTGAAAAAAATCCGTTCCCAAGAGTATCAAGAGCCGATGCGTGGTAACAAATTTTTTAATAAAGCACAAAGCCCCCGAAATCCAGCTATAAATTATTCATAAGTCGCTGCCGCACGGCTGACTGGGGACAGGATGCGGAGCACAGGAGCGTCTCCCCTTGTCCGTGGTCGATGACTGATGGAGGGTCTTAAAGCCCCGTCCGGATTGCCGGCTCAGCTCCCTCGGTCATAATTAAAGCAATTTTCTTACAGTCAGATTTATACTTTGCTTGGCTGCTTTAATTAGCTGTCAAGCTGGAAAATTTGTTGCCCACAACCTACTCCAATTATCTGCCCGAAGCGGAGCATTTAGCTGGGTGACTTGCTCTGCAAATCATTTTTATTCCCGACCGGAAACAATTGCCGTCGCTACATTCCTTTGTATAGTCCCCATGGGAGTAGAGCGTCCTTAATATTTCATTAACGCATTTATTGCTCTTCATAATTCAATCGGAAGTGTTTCCCTGCGGAAGGAGCTCGCTTGGCGGTGCATATAGGACATGGAAATTGATTGTTTATCGGAAGAAAGGAGCAGACTTCTTGCCATTTGGGCATATAGTACATATGGTGTGTCGGGGTCCATTGTATGCCGAGAGGGAAAATTTTGTAATTGAAACCGAGGCGAGGAAGGAAAAGCTCTTTGGCTTCAGTGCTGGAAGTATGAGTTACACATTCGAGTGGGAGGCATAATGAGAGAAGTATTCAAAGAAAATATTGTGTAAGAAAATATTGTGTAGGGATGCCAGCAAATGCCAGAGGTTGTTAAATAAAATTAAGGTAATTGGTTGGACTCTTAAAATTTTTATGAATTGGTTGAACAACTTGAAAACCTTGAAAAAATCAAATGATTGCGTAAAGAATGTTGAATATCTACAAGTTCTTTTAATTTTAATTATTATTAATTATTATTGATGATATTATTAATGAAGAAGTATGCTAAACCTTTAGTCGGTCAGGTAGTGTTAAGTCTTTAATATTAAATATTAATAATATATTAATATTAAGTCTTTAATATTAAAATTCAGCTTCATCCAACTTTATATATGTAACTTTTTTATATTTCCGCATTTTGCAACGTGACACAAACATTTTGAAAGTTAATTAACACAAGTTTGCGTTCTTGTTTGTAAAGCAACAAATTCATAACCAAACGATCTTTGCCAGTAATTAGAATAAACCTGCTAGACAATAGACAAATAATCAAATTCAATGGTTACACTTGCACTAGCACTGCTTGGTAATCACATGAAATCTCTCTTGACAGCAGCAAAATAAGCCAAAGGAAAAACACTTTCCACACTTCTGAGACGGTGTGTATCGCTTACCCATTAGCCAGGCCTAATGATTAATTAATTGTTTGGCCTAACAATCTTCAGGTAACGACAACACCCCCAGCTGCCATGACTTTTCCTCTCTCACTCTCCCTCGACAACAAAGGCACACAAAGTTGCAACTGAAGTATTTTCTTTGTTGCGAGGAAAAGTTGGAAAAATACATACATAGGTGACGACGGTGGTGGGTGGGTGACAACAATGGACGCCAAAGTTAATTGGAGCAATGCCAGGGCGAGAGTGTTTCCTGCTCCGGTTTGCCGTTGCTGCCCTCTGGCAAACAGGCAACAGAGTGGCCACGACGGATGCGGGACAGGTGGAGAGGCTGATGTATTATTCGCTGTTTTTGCTGGTAAGTGAAAATCCCTGGCAAAAGCTGTTGACATCCAGCTGCTGAGGCGAGTTAATGTGCTTATTTTCGACGCTCCTGCTGCTGGCTGAATATTGTTTATGCATCAATAAATTCTCCCCCAGTACAAGGATTAGGGCATAACATTGTGTTAATTTCGGGAAAGCATGAGGAAAGGTAACGGATGACAAATCTCAATTAAAGTATAAATGTTGTTCTTCTTATAACACGGCCAGGAAAATTCTACTAATTTTCCCAACGTAAAAACTTGTGGTTATTTAGCTTGCAATGGCTCCTGTCAAACCTCGTTAAAGGTTATATAATTACCGAATTAGTTTAGCAAAAGTTTTTCCCAAAAGGAGATGACAAAATGCCGTGTAATTAAATTGCCTCAAAATAGATTCTCACTCAATACTTAGCGGCCAAGGACCAATTATTTTGGCTTTCAAGACATGCGATGTGGTGGCTCGACATCCTCCCAACTTGTTGCTGGCCCAACTAGGCGGCCAATACTTATGAGCCATTCGAGTTAGCCCCGTCACGATATCGTGGCCAGACGTGGGCCCAGACGAAAGCGAGCATAAATATTTGATTAGTTCCAACTCGTCGCTTGACCCCCGAGTGGCCGCAATGTGTTGGCGATAATTTACAAAAAATCCGGGCTATATTGCCCACTTGGCTGTCTGTCACGAAAGTATCATATATATTTATGTGTGTGTAGGGTATATACTATATGTACAATGATGGATGAAACCATCTCACTCTGACACGTGTATGCAAATGTCTTCGATGGCGTTTGGAGAGTCATAAACATTCGCATGCTCCCAACTGTCGAAACAATTTGGCGCAGCATGGCGTATACGTAATGTACTGCAGATTGTTTTTATGCCCTCCATCGCATAGAGAATGCGTGGGTCCTGCTGCCAATGGGTGCGGTAA